TCGAACCACGGCCTCCACCACCCGACCCGGACCAGCATGTCGGAATGAGCAATCGCATGAAGAAGCCCGCGACGACGCTCGTCAATCCTCAGGCCCCCTTCTTTGAGGCCTTCGTATGGGTAAGTCTGGGCCCGCGCCGCTAAGGAGAGCTGGGCCAGATCGTCAAATCCGCCCACCAAGCCAAATCACGAAGGATTTCGAAGTATCGCGGGCGAGATCCAACCCTGCGGGCCGGGAAAAAGCCTGACCATGACCTTCCTGTCGGTGACCTCCCCAGTCCTCTGGCGGCGGCAGGAGCTGCGCCACGAAGCACACCGTGGAGGTGATGAACACTCGCAACGCGAGGAGGGAGACCTGCATGCCTCCCCCGACCTACATGAAATTCCATATCTCCAAGCCTGGCCGTAGTTGCATGCAGTGATACACCATTATGAGATCCGCAATGCCACCCTATCATGAAACTATTCAGCACCATTCCGTACTCCGTTGACCCAATGGCAGTGTTGAGTTCCGCACTGATGATTCCCCGTTGGAGTTCATGACGTGCTCGTACACCCGAATTGCAGCCCACCTGACAAACCGATTGCCCTTTATACGAAATCATACTGCAGAGCCCATCGGGGGCCAGCCGCGGAGTCCCGAGGAGGGGAAGGGAATGGCGTGGAGGATGGGAAGAATGAGGAGGAGGGAGTGAGGAGCGAAGGCAGGAAAACGACGGTGGGGAGGAAGTGGGATGAGGTGACGCAGAGGAGGATGAAGCGACGTGGCGAGTCCGCCCGCCGCCCACCGTTCCCTGTAGGAGGCAGGAGAAAGACGGACGAGGGCGGACAGAATCCTCAGTGATTTGCTTGTGACCCGCGACTGAAAGGAATCAGCTGGTATTCAGGCACGAAAGGAATCCCAGTGTACCCTTTCAAGCAATGGGGATATTTGTCTAATCCGCCACACAAGGCTGCTGCAAGCCACCGCATACAAAATCTGTTCTGCAATCCTCTACACAAAGAACTCTTGTGTACGCTGGCAACAATGTGTATATATATGTGTATAAAAAGTCAGGGGAGTACAATTCAGTACTCAGCCACTGCATCTGCCTGTGCTGGTTGCGTTTGGTTGCTTCTGCTTCAATGGACGCTGCCGCATTTAGCTACTCGGGAAAATATCCTTTCTTCTCCCCATCCTCCCTGTCCTCCTTCTCCCCCTCCTCCCCGCCCCTCCCGCAGCTCCTCCCGTCTTGCAGAAAAGACAGGGCGACTGGGCTCCTTTGCAACACGCCGCGAAGGGGCAAACTTCTGGGAACCGCCACGACTTGGAGGCCTTTGTAATCTGGAGGAGAGACACAGAGAGAGCACAACACACAAAACACGCGCGCGAGAGAGAGAGAGCGAGCGTGCATGTCTTTCATTTTTTGATCCGCCCTCTGAACCAGAGTGCGTTGTCCTATTATTATATGTGCAGGGCAAGGTTTCTTCTTTTCTAGTTTCAATAACTATTATGCGGTTCCTCTTTGTCTGTGGCTTCGTCCTGTGACGGGGGCGAGGTGCCGCGGGAACGAAAGGCCAGAACAGAATGAGGAAACCATAGCAATAGCAACAAACGTGTCCTGCACAGGGAAAAAATACAAACGCTCCAGTCTCCGAGGGCGGAGGCAGGAACAAACATGAAAACATGCCCCTTACCCTGAGGGGAGGAGGCAATGTGTGCTATGTTGTCCCATCCCGGTCTCGAAGTCGGACTTATTTTCCGAGTTGTTATTGCGCAGAGCAGCAGAGTTCATTGAATATGGTTTATGACGTTTAATGTGTTTCATCTGTTTCGTGGTCATCCTGGGACGGGCGCGGGCGCCGCGCGGGCGAAAGAGCCAGAAGAGAAGGAAGAAGGAGAAGAGAAAGAGAACGAGAGAAAGAGAAAGAAGAACGGCCACGACGACGACGAACAATTCGCCGGCCCAGCGGGCCAAGGGCTTGCTAAGATCCCCGGCAACTGGTTCACAATATTCTAGTTCGCGCGCGCGGGGTCGCCCCTGGGGGGACGCAAAGTACCCCCGGGACACCCCTGGAAGACCCCCGGGACACCCCCGGGACACTCGGATCAGAGATGCCAGACCGGGTAATTTTTCGACACCCCTCACAAGGACCGTGGCCCCCGAGGGGAGGGGCGCAATCCAGTACCCCCCCTCCTGACCCAAAAGGTCCCCAAGAGCCCCCCAAGAGACTACGGGGGCCAACAAGACGCCGCCAAGGAACCCCAAGAGGCCCCCGAGAGGCCCCCAAGAGACCTCCAAGAGGCCCAGAAAATACCCCCAAGAGGCCCCAAAGATCAAGGGTGCGCCGCTGGATCTCCCCAAAAGGGGGGGGGGACCCCCCTCCCCTTTCCCCGATCCGTCGTCGGGGACCCCCCCCCCTCGCCGCCTTTCCCGATCCGTCGTCGGAGAAGCCCCCCCGTCCCTCCCTTTCCCGATCCGTCGTCGGAGACCCCCCTGCGTCCCCCCCTTTCAAAGGGGGGGAGGGGGTTCCGACCCCCCCCCCTCCCCCCCGTTGGCCGCCAAATTCGAATCACCGCCCCTCTCCCCCCCTTTCGCCACGGCGCCCCCGGACTCCGGACCCCGACCCTTGCCACCCCTAGCGCTAATCCTCACCTCGCCCTAACCCCCAGCCCTAACCCCGAACCGTAAACTTAGCCCCAAACAGTACTCACTACCCATCACGCATCACTCACTACCCACTAATCACTACTCGCTACTCACGACTCATTTCTCGCTTCTCACCACGCACAACTCACGACCCACTACCCACTACCCACTATTCACTAGCCCCTACTCCCTACTCCCTATTCACTACTCAGTACTCACTATCCACCTCTCAATACTCTCTATATACTACTCACTAAACACAATTCACTACGCACTACGCACGAACCACACATCACTACTCGCTACTCACTACCCCCTGACCACTATCCACGACTCACTACTCACACTTCACTACTCACTACTCACTACTCACTGCCCCCAAGTCACTACTCACTATCCACTATTCGCTGTCCCCGTCTCACTACACAGTACTCACTACTCACTATTCACTACTCGCTACTCCCCGCACCCTACTCGCTCCGCAATACGCACTACTCAGGACCAACAACTCACTACGCACTACGCTTCCACTACTCACTACTCACGAATCACGAATCACGACCCACTGCCAACTACTCACTACTCACTAAGCACTACCGACTACCCACTGCCCACTACCCACTCCTGAGTACTCACAGCTCACTACTCACTACTCACTGCACAAAAATCACTACTCACTATCCGCTGCTCGCTGATCGCTACCCCCTACTCCCTACACAGCACTCACTGCTCACTACTCACTATTCACTACTCGACTCCCTATTCGATACCCACTAGTCACTAGTCACGAGTCGCTACGCTACTGACTACTCACTATTCCGTACTCACTACTCCCTACTCACGACTCACACCCACTACGCACGACTCACTACTCACTTCTCACGACGCAATATTCATTACCCACTACGCACTACTCAGTACTCACTACCCACTACTCCATACTCACCAGTTACTACTCACAAGTCGCTACTCACTACTCACTACTCACTATTCAGTACTCACTACTCACAACCCACGACTCACTACTCACTAGTCACGATTCACTACTCGCTATTCCCTACGCACGATTCACTGCCCCATTCTCAATACCCACTTTTCACTTCTCCCTACTCACTACTCACTACTCCCTACCCCCTACTCCCTACTCACTACTCACTGCTCACTACCCGCTACTCCCTACTCCCTACTCACTACTCCCTCCTCACTACTCACGACTCACAGTGCCCCATTCACGACTTACTATTCAGTACTCGCTACTCCCCTTCCGCTACTCACTACTCACTACCCACTACCCACTACCCACTACTCACTACGCACTACTCACTACTCACTACTCGCTGCGCACTAGTCACTACCCACTCCTCACTCCTCATTACTCGCTACTATCTAGCCACGACACACTGTTCACCACTCACTACCCACTACTCGCTATCCCGAGACCAGACCCCCCCCCTTGCGGAAGAGCCCTCTCCCCGGCCCCCTGTTCGGCGTAAAGGGGGGGAGGGGGGGGGGTGCAAACCTCCGCCCCCTTTCCAGCGCCAAGGGGGGGAAGGGGGGAGATGTCCGGACCCCCCCCCCCCCTTAACGGGGGGAGGGGGGGGGGGGAGGTCGAAAATCGCACCCCCGCTTTGAAAGGGGGGGTTCGGACCCCCCCCCCTTTTCAACTACAGGGTGATACAGTGGCGCGCTTTCTCTAAGATCGCTGCGTCGACGTATGTGCACCTTTGCCTTCTGGCCAGAGGCAGTCTTCCGGCGAAGCCAGGTACCAGAGGTCTTCTGTGCCAGGTACCCCAAAGACGGCACAACGGTCTTCTGTGCCTACCCTCCGCACTGCCGACGACCTCTCAGCCAGTCGACCGCGGTGCGCAATATGGGCCGGCGGAATGAGCGCAGCGATTGAATAACAATAGTCAAAAGTAGTACACTGCGAACCAGATGGTACTGGGGCGACTATATGCATATAGATATGAGTACAAATAAAAGTACGTAGGAATATTACCTCCACCTCATCAAGCTTACCTCACTTACGGATGCGTTGAGGGTCGGCGGCAGAGGCGGCACAGCATACAATTCGGGAAGAAGTTTAGCTGTGGGGCTGTGGGCACAAAGGCGCCCCTTTGAACAAAACCTGCTACCGCCGATCCTCCTCCTTCTCATCTCCGATCCTCGTTCTTGTCCTTGCTCCTACTTCTCCTCCTCCTTTACCAATCCTACTTCCTCTCCTTTTCCTCCTCCTCCTCCTCGATACTCCTCTCCTCCTCCTCCTCCGCCTCCTCCCCCTCCTCCTCCTCATCACATCTCCTTTTTCTCCTTCTCCTCTCTACTACACATCCTCGATCCTCGATCCTCTTCTTCTTCCTGCCCTGGGCGCCAGCTCGCAAGCCGAGCAGCACCGCCGCAGCTCTCCCACCGACAGGCCGTCCGCGCCGGAGTCCACGTACGCCAGCAGGTCCGACAGCGTGGACGCGAACGCCTGCGCCTGGAGCCGCGAGGGGGTGAGGGGGGTCTGACCGATGACGGGGTGATGGCGTCGCCGTCCTCGCCACAATCGGGGGCGGGGACGTGGGGAGAGCGGGGCGCCGCACCGCTCCTCCTGTTGCTGCTGCTGCTGCTGTTCCTCCTCGAAGCGAGGAGGGGGGGGGGGAACCGAGGGAGAGAGGAGAGGGATGGAAGGACGCACGGGGAACGGGGTGGCAGAGGAAGGAGGGGAACGAAGGGGCGTGATTGGGGAGGCAGAGATAGAAGGGAAAGGCTCTCGAAGCGACACTCTATGTCCATCACATCCCCGAAACCTTCCTTCTGGTGGATGTTTCAGCCCGTGGCTCCGAAGACCTCCCAACCTTTCCACACGGGCAATCAAAATTTAGGAAACAAGCATGGACTGAACAAAACACAACGTCAAAAGTCGGACCCTCAGAGAGGTTACCTTTACTGCGTCTCCCAGACCAATCGAACGTGGATCGAGCAGCTCGGCTCCAGAGCACATGGAACAAGTATCCCTGGAGGTGCCCAGGGTCCTCCTCCTCTTCAACATCTTTCTCTGTTTTTCCCTCCTCCCCAAACTGCTGTGGCGCCCCCCTCCGACCCCCCCCCGTCGGGCGCGGCCAAACCGACCCCTAGCATACCATCCCGTTTTCTCCTGAAGGGTGGGGGCTCGCAAGCGCCGGAAGCACGGGGAACTCGATTAACAACGTTGTCCTCGCCAGGGCGGATCATGCGCCCACGAGCGCGCGGACAGGCAAAGAACACCAGAAACTGCGCAATTATTGACGCTCCGCGTATCCTCATCAGCCCATTCAGCGACGATCGCAGATGAGCTGCGTTGATCAGGCAAGTGTAAAACCTGCAGCGTCATAAAGATATCGGGCAGCTGCCCGCTTCACTCGCACACTCGCGCTGTCGCATCGTATTCGGTAAATTGACAGACATCCCCCAGGGGCGCCGCGAAACGCTCTGTTATCCACTTATGAGTTGTTCGTGACCGCAGAGGTGCGACGAAACCAGAAGACAACTATAGAAAGGCATTCTATGGGAGAACAACAACTATACAAATACACCTTTCCTGCTTCAATTCGCTGGCCCAACGGGACAGGCGTACTAAAATCTCAGGCAAGCGTTGAATAATGTTTCTGGTTTGCGCGCGCGTAGCGGCCCATGGGGCCCATGGGGGTCCCTGGACGAACAGGATCCAGGCAAGGTCCCGGCAAGTTCCGGCAGGGTCGGGTCAGAGATGCCGAACTCCTGGGCGCGGCCTCGGGGACCTCTGGAGCGCCCCAATGAGGCGCCAAATGGGTGGCAGGCCCCACGGCCTCAGGCCAAGAGCTTTCCAACATGGCCCACGTTGGTCCCAAGACGGCCCACGAAGCGCCCAAGACGCTCCAGGAGGGTTCCAATAAGACTTCGAGAAGCTCCGGCAACAAAAGAAATATTGATTCCGCGAAGGCTTTCGGACGATTTCGGCGGTACCGCCTTTGCTGTCGACCGTCCTGGACGGCCCAAGAGGCTTCAAGATCGCTGCCAACGGGCCTCCACATGGCCCAAAACGGCCCTAAGGCGGCCCAAGAAACCTCCAAGACAGGCCTAGGATGGCCCCGAGAGGGGGCCCTGAGGGGGAACCCGAACGGACACTTCGAGCTCTCGGCCCCATGAGGCGCCCTGGAAGCCCCCAAACGGCTCCAAAAGAACCCCCCAAAATCCTAAACAGGACCCCAGAAGCCCCAAGAGGTTCTGAAAAAGCCCCCTGAGAGGCCCCTGAGAAGCCTCAAACCTGCTCCCCGGAAGCTCCCGAAGGCCCTCCGAAAAGACCCCAAGAAACATCCATGGGGATTCTGACCCACACTTCAAGTACGCGTCGAAACTCAGCTGGGGCTCTCTTGAACCATCTTGGCGCCTGCTGGGGCAGTCTATCGCCCTTCAACAGGGTGGACGGCACATCTCCAAAAACCTCTTCGCGGACATTCCTGCCTGCCTTACCTTTCCCACCGGGCATACACCACCACGTGACTACAATGATGCAAAACGGGTCGGCGAAATCAGCGACACGATTGCGTAAACTTTGGCGCGCCGTATGTTGCATGCGCGTGGTTGCGTGCGCGCACGCGCGCACATGCATGGCCGTGATCTTCGCTCACCAGGAGTGAAACATGTTCCGCGGACCTCAGCCGCCCCCGCCCCTGGCGGCGAAACCCGACCCACGTGATGGGCAGATGCCATTGTCGGCGTATTGCGGCAATAACTGCTTACTGGGTATGTTTCATGCGCCGATCTGGCGTGATTGGTGTATACATTGTTTCCGAAATGGACAATAATAGTGAAGACGATGAGGAGGCAGGAAATTGAGGAGAAGATGCATCATAACAACCGACAGCGGGAGAGGGAGGGTAAACTCAGAACAACCGACGGCGGAGGAAGGTGAGGGGGGGAGGAAGCCGGAAATCACCAATACGAGTTCACACATGCTCGGAACAACAATCAACCAGAACGGTCTTCGCGGTCCTCTCGGACGAACAGGAAAACGATAAAAAAAACGACGTGGAAGGGGAGGGGGAGGAGGAATATGAGGAGCGGGAAGACAGACGGGGAGGCGAAAAACAAAGGGGATGCGCAGGACACGGAGTGCGAGCAAACAGACAATAACTAGGTGGGAATAATGTAAGAAGAAAAACAAGAGGAACGACCGTACGTTCCCTCAGCCCAGCAGGCTTCGATGGCCTCATCACATGCAACGCAGTAGCCATACATTCCTTGCCTGCAGTGTAAAGAAGCGCAGCGCTGGGCGCGGCGTGCGTGCTGACACGCAGTTTGTTTTAGAAACGAAATGGCAATATTGTCCTGCGGACAGCTTCTGAAATGGTGTGCTCTGGATCGGTGCGCTGCTCAATCGATCCAAGGCCTATGCGGGCAAGGGGGTCGGGGGAAAGGAAGGAACGAGGTAACGCGAGGAAGTGCAGGAGACGGGGACAGGTGAGGTGATGGCCAAGGCGATCTGGGCACGCATTGCATCCGAGCAAGCGCGTCTTGCGCGGCCCGAAGGGAAAGCGGCGGCTTGTCCACCGCGCTCCTGCCAGAGTCCCAATACCGCCCAGCGGATCGCTGCTGCCTTGCGGGACAGGTGGCCGGCGAGTTCGCGCCAGCGGTCGGACAGATTCGGGGGCAGGTCGAGTTCTGGGAGCGCAGTGCGGAGACGGCGCGCCGGGGCCTCGGCGAACTTGTCAAGGAAGAGGGAGGCGTGGAGGGCCGAGGAAAAATATAGCTGGACCCTCGCGCGCCGTGATACGCGAACTGCCGAAGCTTTCTCTTCGGCAGCTCGCTTAGCGCTGAGCCGCAGCAGCGCGAAGGACTTTATGCGGCGGTAAGCCGTCTGCGAGTATGCGCCGGCGCTCAACGACGCTGTAGCTCTCCCAAAACACAAGGGAGACAGCGGCCCTGACGCGGGCCTGGCCTGGTGCCGCCAGGGGAAGTTCTGGATTGAGCTGGTCTTGGGCACTGGCCAGCGCGCAGCGAAGTGGCCGCCAGCTCGGCGGCGCGGCGGTGGCCGAGCGCCGCGCCGAAGCCAGCGACAACGTGATCAACGCTGCGGGGGACGACGGATGCGACCACGAACCAGCGCCGAAGAGGTCGACGAGGCGCCAGGAGTTTGGGGGGAGCTCTCGAGACCTTGTGGAGCGAGCCGCGCTCGTGGCGGAGAAAAGCGCCTGGAAAAAGGACAGTGCTGCGTGGGGTAGGAAAGGGCTGTAATGACACATGTGTTATGCAATTTGATGGCTACACCTGATCCTGGGGGCGCTCGCAGCAAGTTGCACCGAGCGGAACGTGTGCTCATCGAAAGCCGCGTTCCACTGGATGTCTATCGTTGCTCCAGGGTCAATGAGAACGCCTAGATAGCGGGCGCATTCAGCGATCTGCACGCTGTTCCACTCAGGGGTGGGAACGGCTAAAAGACGCCGCGCGAGAGAGAGAGTTTGCACCACTGGAGAGAAAGCTGCCCGCAGAGACGCAATGGCGGTCTTCTGGATCTGAAGCTCGAGTCCTGAAAGAACGAGGCGACGTCTGAACGGTTTCCATGCCTGGGCGCGCCTCGCGAACTGCATGGCGGCCTTCCTGCTGCCAGCCTGGCCCAACTGGGCCTCGGAGTTGGCATGCTGGCGCTCGGTTACACGGGCAACTCGCCGCTCGTAGACCGCGGCAACTGCAGCGCCCGTGAACTCGACGAATTCTTCTGTCCGTGAGTTCAGGGCCGCGCGCGGCGATGCGAAGGTGGGCGCGGCCGATCTCAGTCGCGGCCATGAGTGGCGCCGCCGTGTCAGAGTGCCCCCGCCCGATCGTTCCCAATATGGCTCGTAGCGCGGTGGGTCTGCCCCGTTTTGCCCAAAGGCTGAGGTCTTGTAGAGAAGCTCGCTGCCGGTGGTCACGCGCGAGTCTGGCCGCGCCCTCGATGATCAGTTTGCGCTGGCGCCATGCCGCGCAGGCGTGCGCTGTGCTTGAGCAGCGTGATATTGCAAGACAGCGAAGTGGCACTGGTGCGTCGGATCGTGGAATGCGCTCGGGCCCATGGACTGTTCTTCAGGTCGGGCTGCGGAGGCGTTGGCCAGTGCCAAGTAAAAGGTTGCGTGATCGCCCACCCCTCTGTCAGAGATGGCGGCGCCATCCTTGTGCATCTTCAAATGGGCGCCGACTTTCAGCATGCCGATGCCAGAGAGGGAGACAACCGCGCGGTCAATGCCCGTGGCAGCTTGAGCGTTGGCCGAGCAATGCGTAGGAGGGCCGCGCGCAATCCCTGCGAGGGAGGCAAGGAGTTGGCGCCATCGTGCTCGTTCACGTTCAGGGGGGGAAAGGGCGCCGTCTAGCAGACGGGCCCTTGAAGCTGAACGACGGGCCGGCGCCGGCGTTGAGGCCGCCCATGGCGATGACAAAGATTCTGGGACTTGCTCGCAGCCCAAGTCCTCGGAGCATGCCGCGCTTCAAACGCCCGAACCGCGT